AACTCTTTCACCACTCTGACGAGATGAACAAATCCAGAAAGTCTTTCCTGGGAGTGGTCGCCTGGGTCTGGACGCTGGGGATTGCTCTCCAGCACTGGGGATGGCTGCTGCAGATCACAAAATGCAGGCTCCTGGTGTTCCTTGGTGTTTCCCAGATCCCAGTCCAGAGCAGGTTGGATGGTATTCAGGAAGAGGAAAGGAAAAAGCAACAGTCCAGGGAAAGAATTGGACTGCTTAGCTAAACTAACTAGGAAGCAAAGGCAAAAGCAGAAACAAGCAAAGGCAAAAGCAGAAGCAAGCAAAGCAAGCAAGCCCAGCAAGCCAGCAAGCAAAGCAAAGCCAGCCAGCCAGCACTAGCCTCTCCTAGACAGCAGACCATGGGGGGAGGTGAACCAGATGATAACAAGGCAAAACAAACCTTCACTTTCAGAGTCAGTTCTGAAAGCACAGAACATAATATCAAACATAAACAGAACACACGACTGGAGATACAAACACCATAACATCACCCTAGGACACTGTCTTTGGAAACAGCTGTGGCAAATGGGCACCTGGGGCTAGTGTGTGCAGGTTGAAGAGGAAGACTACTTTAAACAGAGCTCTGGAATATATATACAAAAGTATACATTTCTTTTGTGGTACTGTAGATGGTCTTACAAGTCTGTATCTTAAAATTTATTGAGGAAGAAGGTGCAGTGATGTAATTGGATTCACTTCACCTTATGGGAATATCTATAAAGATCTCTATTGTAGCTCGTGGGGCTTGGAGTGCTGTGAAAATTTTGTGTGCATTAAAAGGAGCTGTAAATGCAGCAGGAACTCAAAGTGGGGAACCTGCCAATGCCAAAAGTATCGACTGCCCAGCATGGGGCCCTCTAAGCAGAGACTTTACTGATTAGACTGAAAACTCCTTCGTTTTTAGGTCCATTGACATTGTAAATGCTATGCAGATATATATATAAACTGCCTCATGTTGCTGCTAAAAAGCTTGGAGTGGTGATGGCAAAGGTTTGGGTGTTATCCTGAAGACGAACATTTCATATTTCATCTTTTGGGAATCTGCAGACAAATGGAAATGTTCAAAGGGTGGAAGGAAAGAGAGAGAATATGTAACTGCTGAGAACAGGCTGAGTGAACTGTGGGTTTTTTAGACTAAAAAGAGCTCCTGTGACTTTGCACTATATAAACGTTTGTTGTGAAGAAAATTTTCATGAATTACTATCTGGCTGTTGCAGAAAATAAGAGAAGTAAATAATGAATTTTGACTTAGGAAATACTCTCAAACTAAAAAGACCATGAAACATTAGATCTGGTTGCTTGTGGAAATCATGAAATGTACTTCACTGATTAATTTACTGTGGGTTAAAACCCAGTTGGATGACTTATAGTAAAGTCAGATGATATATGCTTTTTATCCTGCCTCAGAACAGGGGAAAGGGAAACAGCCGCTTGAAGTCACTGTCAGCTCTTTAACTCATCTCCGTCTGCATGTTAAGATGAGGAACAGATATTTACAGAGCTGCTGTAAGTTTAATTAACACTACAGAGGGTGTCATTTTCTTGCCCTTCTGAGAGAACCCAAATATGACACCACTGCTGCTCTAGAAAAGCAAGTCAGTATTAAACTTGGTAGTGAACACAGAACTAAATGCTATTCTGCCAACAAGACAGCTGTAGCTTTATCAGTGATGTCCTAGAAAAATTAATCTACTTTTTTGTCAATGAATGTTCAAAATGGATTTCAAGTATGAAGAACCTGACAAGTATATATCAAATTTCTTATCTGAATCAAGGAAGAGGTAAATTGGGCAGAAACACTCTCTGCTGTTATTCAGCATTTGGAGACCAATGCACAGGGTCTCACTGGAAATGTAAATGACCAGATCAAGTTGGGAGTGAAAGATTGCAGCTGTAGCCTAGAAGTAGACTCCAGACATCTTAAGACTTGATGTGTTTCCACTTATTGAAGGAGCTAGATCCTAAAAAGAGAGGAACACTTCACTGTGTTGAATTGCACGGAAACTTTGGAATCCCAGAGGAATTTGCTCATTTTATCCAGTCCAGAAAATCCAGAAAATCCAATCCAGTCCGTGCCAAGCCAGGAAAGGAACCATGGTATTGGTCCACCTTTTCAGAAACTGAGCTGTGCCCCAGCGGGAAATGTTTTCTGAAATGATTGAAAGTCCTGAAAAATAAGTTATGTATTGAACTTGTTTACAGTTTTAAAACTTCCAAACAGATAAAGCAAAATCACTGAACACTTGAAAGGTAATTATATCAGCATGAAGAGAAGCTTTACTTTAGGACTTCCTGTTAGGAAATCACACCAAAACCAAACCCCAAAAATATTTTTGTTCTACAAATGTAAAATTAATTTTTTATTGCAGCATCAAATAAAATTAAACAGCTGCATTTAAAGATACTCAGTTATTTGTGCATTATGCAAGATTAATACAACCCCGAGTTACAGCCTCCAACTATACCAGCAGTAAAACACTGATGGGAGAGAAGTATTTCTTGCAAACTGCATAGGGATATGAATTTATGGAAATGTAACTCTCCTGCTTAAAGATCTGATATTCCATTTTCATAAAATAATTATTCATTGCATTAACATTTCCTTTGTACTTTTACTTTTCCTGATGCCTGTTTGGAGTGAAAAGCTAATATCAGAGATGGTGACAGTATGTTTCTCTTTTATAACACACAGGTTAATTCTTCTTCACTGTTGAGGTGGCATGTACTGCCCCAAATTGTGGGTAGTTCCAACAGAGCTCTGACAGTCATAAACCTGGTCTTCCAAATGTTGTCTGTGGAACATCTTTTCAAAACCTGAAAAAAATGAATTAAATAATAGAAAAGGTTTTTTTAAAATAAGGATATGTATGGTTTTAATTCATCTGGAATACCAGTTTTAATCTCACTTTTTCCTGCTAGGTTTGTTTTCTATTTGATTAGTTCTAGGAGATGGATTTTGACATTTAAAGTATGTGTAATAGAAAGAGAATAATGACATCGCTGGGATTACAGAAAAATATTTGCCCTTGGAAATGGTAATGCATTGTTAAATACCAGTTGCATCATATCTGAGTATAATAAAATCAAAGTGGAAATTGAATGATTGAGTGGAGAATTAATAGTCTCAGTATGTGACAGAAGAAGGGACCTCAGCAATTCTAGCAGTGCAGCACAGCTGAAAATGGATTTTTTAGCATGGTCTCATTGGGTTTCCAAACCTGTATTTTGTTTTAAGTCTAACATGAAAAACAAATAAAATAATAACTGTATTAATATTGGGGGGAAAAAAGGAAGTATTTGAATAAAAATAACCAATGATCTTCCTCACATAAATCCTTGGATAAGCTCCCCCCAAGAGCCATAGTGTGTTGATTCCTCAAATGAGGGATGTGTTTATCCTGTTAGTGTTGCTGAGGGTTAAAGTTTAGATAGGGTTAGGCAATAGAAGTTATTTCCAGGGTGAACCATACCTGATTTGCATCGTGGCTCCTGTGAGAGCAATGTTGGCAAAGCTGGGTTGAGCCAAGGGCTGGAACAGGAGTCAATGAATGGGAGGAAGAGGGGGAAGAGTTTCACCTCTTCTTTGTATGGCAGCCATCTGCAGTGCCTGCAGTTTGGAATGCATTGGGGCACACTGAATTTTCCTCAGCTCCTCTCTTTCCTGCATAATGGTGTGCGAGTATGTTTATTCCCAGTTTTCTGGTCAGGGATAAACTGTGCTGAGATGAGAGAAATGGGTGAGGAGTCCTCTGGGGCCAGTAGGATTGGTCTCAGTGTTTGGGTTTCGTAGGTGGTTGGGCTGTTTTGTTGCTTTAATTCCAGCCATTGAAGTCAGCTCTCTGGAGAATTTCTGGCAGGGTGTGAGTTTTCAAATCAAACCCAAGTGATGGCAACCACCTGCTGCAGCTGGTGTCTGTGCTGGGGCAGCAGTTTAGTGGCTGATAATGCCACTGGAAAGGTTGGTTTGGCCTGTGCTTTTGCTCCCATTAATGGTTCTCACCCTTCCAGATAAGCCATGCACTAGGGCCCCAGCTGTTGTTCTGAGTGTTTATGAATGGGCTGGGTCCTCTTTTGGGCTGAGCTCTCTTCTAAATTGTCACACATACCTGCCTGGAAAGAAAAATTTACAATGTGAGTGCGTGAAGAAAGATACAGAGATAGGGTGCAGCGTGTGCTGATGATCCATGTATTTTTACTCAGTTTATTATAGTAGACACCAGGATTATATTTTTCTTGCAAATGCACTTTTTTTCCCCCCTGTCCCTATCCTTTATGTTTTTCAGTTGTCCTTAATTCCTCTTGACAGTAACAGAACTGAGTTTTTCCGTAGTTGGGTTTAATGAGGAGAAAACCAAGGCCTGGGAGCAGAGTATTACAAGCAATGAAGCCTCCTCCAGGTCTCCATTTCCCACAGCTCAGCTCTCTGTGTTGTAGGTGGCTCTCAGAATACTGTTATTAATAAAGTGTATTTATTGGAAATTGGGAATGGAGTCCTTTTATAATAATCTTTCATCAAACTGGAGGAAATCTGGGCTTGATTCTTGGATCTAAGCACTTGATTAACTTATCTACCTTATTTATATGCTCTTACTTTTTGTCTATCCTCTGCCACTCTGGTACTTGCACACTACTGGAATTTGCCCAGCACCTCTACACTGCTGGATTCTGTTCCTGGCAGAGACATCCCTGGGGCTCATCTGACTCCAGCTGGGGAGAAGTTTGTTATGCCCCTGGCATGTTTAGGCTGTAACAAATGCAATACATTTAAAGAAATTATCCCATGTTAGTTGTGCTGGAGGCTTCCACTCCTATTTTTAAAGATGATCTTCCTTGTTACTGTGGGCTTCATCCTTAGAAGTCAGAGCAAGAGCTGGTTATCAGGGTGTGGAACACAGCTGCCACCAGGTTGTGTGTGATGTGCTCCCCATCTCCAACTGACAAAATATCTTAAGAATCTCCATTGTCCTATTCCTTTGTGGCAGGACTGGGAGATTACTCATGAAAGAAGCCTAGTTGTGCCCCTTCCCTGTGTGGCTACATCGAACAGCTATGTCTGGATCTGTGCTCCCATCCTGTCTACTTCCCAAACTTGGGAACTGTTTTTCCTCAAATCCAATCAAAGGTGAGACTTGATGCAGAATCATTTTCTCCATGATTCTTCAAGTTGTGTGCTGTCACGTGTTTCTGAGACTGATATCTCAGAGACCTGTTCTGATGTTAGTACTTCAGTATTTCTGGGGACAATTGTTGGAGAACTCTAGGCACATTTGTGAAATTATATACATATGTGTTATATGTGTATATTAGTAAATATGTACATATAATATTTTTTAATATATAAATATGTTTATTATATACATATGTATATCATGAATACCATATGGGATCTACTCCTAGAATAGGCAAAATAATAATCTTTAGAAAATAGGGAGCTGGTTGGAAGGTGCTTGAGATTGTTAGGAAATAAAGACTGAAACAAGAAATTAAATTGCACATCAACTGAGTGGATGGTGAGGCCAGAGGAAAGCCTGAACACTGGAATTAAGTGCCTCTGGTCTGTGAGAGGGTTCTCTCAACATTTAACAGAAAGCAAGAGTTAAAGAATTATGTTCAGCATCAGGGAGGGCAAGTAGACAAAGTGATAATAACAGCTCTATTGGCTAAATGCGGGCAAAAATATTGTGCAGTGAAAGACTGTTAGACTAATAAATGAAAAGATGGTGTAAGAGAACACCTAGAATGGGTTGAATGTGTTAAATGTGAATAGGGAAAGCAGTGTTGGCTCTGGTTTTGTAGATGTTCCAGCTCCTCTGGACTACTTGTTTTTGTGTAGGGACTCAGACTGGGATGTTAATCAGCATATCCAGCATGAATCTATTTTATAGGTACATCACTGTTATTGATGTCTAAAAGTACATCTCTAGAAGTGGTAGTGAGTGATAGTTGGGACTATACAGTTACCAGTGGATACTTTTCCATGAGTTCAAAAGACGTGCAAAAAATCAGATGTACTGCAGAAGTTGCTGATGATGCTGATACTGGCTTAGAATATGGTATGGTCAAAGTGATAAAACTGATAAACTGCAGGGAAAATGCAGACACCTTATTCCTGTATTTCCCTCCAGCATACATTCTGTGGTCTTCAAAAAATTTATGCAAATGCCAGTAATATAGAAAATAATCTGTCCAAAGTAGTTCTAGATTTTTTTTTTTTGTGAGGTCGGTTACTTTTTGCCCCTTAAGGATTCATTTATGCTTGAAAATTCAGGGAATTGAACCACATGCAAGACGACTATAATGGATTTTCTAGCTTTGTGCTTTCTCAATGGGTCACAAAGGAGCTGTTCTGCAGAAATCTTGATCCTAGGAAGTGACTGTTTTTATAAGACTCTTCAAACAGAAGCTGTGCTTCACAGAAAATATTTCCATTTCATAATTCTTCCACTCGTGTCCCTTCTCATCAGTTAATTAAACTTTCATTTAATGTTTATAGAACCAAAACCGTCTGACTATTTGGAAACTATTTGTGCAAATAATAAAGAGGAACTTGGGGAGGAGAGTTTGGCACAAGCATTAAAGCTGTAGTTCCTAAAACTTGTCCCACTTGTCTTTAGCCAGCTTATGAGTTAAAGTGGGTCTGTGTAAGAAGGAGAGAGAGAAAGCAGAATGCAAAATGACAAAAAGGAATAAACTGACAGTAAACCAGGCTGGGTGCTCCAAGAGGGAGTAGCTAATTTGGTATCATGAGTAGCTTTGTATACTAGTATTCACACACCTGAAAACCACTGGCTGCCCTTTACAGCCGTGCTGGCTTGTTCTGCCTTGTGGTAAAATGGTTCCTTCTGTCTAAAGCCCAGGTTTGCTTTCAGACCCATTTCCCACCCAGCAGGGCACCCTTCCTTAGTACTTTGCCATCAGGCACAGGGAAAGGACCCTTGCCCTGGACAGTTTAGGTTTAGCAGCATCTCTGGTTCACTTAGGTAATGATTTAGTCCAGTTCCTTGTATTAAAAAACATTCCTGATATACAAAATAAATAAAATAAGCCTCCACCATACCAGAGGAACAGTGGGAAAGAGACTGGATCTAAGAGGAAGGCCTTTGAAGCCAACACTTAATTATATTTGTGGCTTTTGAATGCAGTGCACTAAAGTGGGAAAGGGAAGACTGTTTCCCTCTTAGTTTTTCAATAATAAAGGAATAAAATGTCTCCTGTGTGCAGTGAGTGTGCTCATATGGGAATCCTAGAGGCATACTGGAGTCCTGCCTGAGTAAGAACAGCAGGATGAGAGCCCTGTGGAGCAGCACTGATGTGCGCTGAGAGAGATAATGGAAGAGTGGAAAGAACCATCTTTTAAAGGACATGTCATGGAACAGTGTCAGGAGGTGTTTCTACAGATGAAGATAAATTGCCATATGCAGTCATCCCATCATCCAAGAGGAAAAATAAATTCTACTTATGAAAAATGATAGACCAGCCTTTGTAGTAATGGTCCAATGCAGAGTGCAAAGTGGTCCTGATGGACTTCTCCCAAACCAAAACGTCATTGAGAGTTGTGAGTTTATAAAGGCAGCCAGGAAGATGCTGTGTAATCTCAGTTTCTGTTTTGCACTTGTTTCTCTTTACTATACAACGCAGTCATCCTTCAGACTTGCCATAAGTTTTCAAAACGGTTGGCCTTCACTGCTCTTTTTTAGCAACTGATTAAGGGGCATTTTGGATTTGCACCACTAAAGTTATTTTAACTGTTGAATATGGCATGATTTCAGCCCTGACCTCAGCTGAAAATCTTTGGGCTCCTGTGCCAGTGCACCTCAGTGGGGCTGAAAAATGATTTTGGTAAATGATTTGGTAGATTTTGGTAGTTCTGTTTTGCAGCTCTCAGCCTTGTTTTCCGTTGGATTTGCAATGTAATTTATCCACCTTGGCAGGCACTGCACTTTCTGCACATTCCACTTCTTTTACTGGCACTGCACCCTTGTTCAGGACTATGGAGAAGGATTTTCAGAAATTTTTTTTCATAAAAAGCTCAACTTGAATTTTTACCAGGTCTTAACTAAAATGTTTTTTATTATATCAATGAATGGGAAAATGATGCCATTAAAAAAGCAGTGGCACTGAAATGGCCTCAAATTCACCCTTGATCCTGTAATTATGCTTTCTAAGAAACCATGTCATTATATAAAACTCAACTGTGTCATTAGTTATATCTCATTTTTGTAATTACAAGCTATATATTTGTCATATCTGTGGAAGCAGAAAACATTGCCATTATAAATTTATGGTTTATGCAGCTTCAGCAGGAATTACTAATGAGCAAATCTTCCTTTCTCTGTCTAATACTTTTCATAAAAGCTTTTCCAAACAAGCTCCTGCAAATGGAAACTGAGCCTGAAAATTGAGATCATGAAGTGCCTCCCTTAGGCCTTCTTCTTGCTTTGCTCTTGAGATATGTCTATGTTAATAGACTATGATAATAAATTCCTGGAATTTGTTTTGTTTTTCTCTTCTTAAAGATGTCATTCTTCTTTCTTCCATAAATATTAAATAATGTGAATGCAAATCTGAGAGAAAATTAGTGCAGCTACAAAAACAATAATTTTAGCAAGCATCTGTTGTCCTAGGAAAACTTTGCATTCTGGAGGAAAGCAAAGCTCAAATTCAGAATCTCTCTTCTTTTTTTACAATGTCTGTGCTTTTGTAGTCACTAAACTGAACTGTCCTGGCTCAGTGGTGAGAGCAGAACATTTAATATATGCTTTTTCCAGATCAACACCTTGAGTTTGGTGATTTGTTTTGGCTTTTTTACAACTGTGTTCATCTTTCCCATCTGAATTATACATTATAAAATCACTGTAGATATCTCCATGACCAAAGATCCCTTTCTCAGGGGAGTCTTGTGCATGGCCTTCCTTACCCTAAGAAGGGTTTCTCTGTGCTTCTTGTGCCCTCCTAAATTATGTTTTCCCAGTCTTTCCTCTTATCCTGTGTGCTCTCTGTGGATTGTTTTCTTCTTTGGTATTTTCCTCCCCCCCTCCCCCACATCCCCTTCCCCCCCCCCAACCTCTAACCATTGATTTTGATTTTTTGTTTGTCTGCTGCTATTTTCAGTTCAATTCAATTCTCACTGCTTGCCTGGATCTCCATGCCCATGATATGGTCCCAGCTCCCCACTGGACATCAATGTATGAATAATATTTGCTTTCCAACAGGTCAGAAATCTTGTTTAAGATCACTTTTCCCTTCGTCTGTCTGAAATGCACAGTAGGACATTTCTTGTTTATTTGTACTTTTTTCCCTCACTCTGGTTGTTGCTAAAAAGACAGCGAAACAAATTAATATTTGGAGTGGGGCAACTGTGTGAAAGGTACAGTTTAAGCTCAGGACACAGTAATAAGCTGTAATACAACACTTCTTTTGCAATGATGTAAAAGCATTCAGCAAACATACAGAATATTTTTAAACTACTACTAAGTACCAGTAGCATAACCATTGAAATTCATAATCCTTTATCTCAAGTTCATACTGTCTGTGAAGATTAATACTTAGATCACTTTTTATATAAATACAGCACTGACTTTCAAGACTTAATAGGTTTATTTTTTAGGGAGGTGATGATGCGTTTCATTTTTGCTTGGCAAAACAGTGATGTCAATTTACTGGATTTGTTGCTTTTATTACCTGTAGATGGAGACTGTGTGTGTGCCACCATGCAGAATCCTAATTTTATTCCTTTGTGCAGTTAGAGTAAGAAGAAAGATTTAGTACTGTGATGTCATTCACACTATGAAGCCTTGCAATTAATGGTAGGAAAACAACTGTAGTCACCTTATGGAAAAAAGAAACTTCAGTGCAGCAATTGCACGTGACTGTAACATTGTGCTGCTGTGGAGGATTCCTTGGGGAATGTGCCAATAGATATCACAGGTCCTGAAGCACAACTCGAGCAGATATCTCTTGATTTCCTAAGGCACCACGAAAATACATCACATTTTTTTTGGTGTGTTTCCATTTTGAGTGTTGCCACAGTTAGTTGGTTACTTCCCTTCCAATCAATCTTTTCTTCTGGCTGAATGAATGATGTCTTTCCATGCCATCATAATCAACAATGCTGAAGTAATT